GATGGAAAGAAACGTATTTGAACCTTTCTGAAGAGGGTGAGACGATGAGTGTCTGACTGTGCCCCTGAACCCATCACTGTGTCTGATTGTCACCCTGAGCCCATCACGGTGTCTGACTGTGCCCCTGAGCCCACCTGACTGTGCCCCTGAGCCCACCACGGTGTCTGACTGTGCCCCTGAGCTCATCACAGTGTCTGATTGTCACCCTGAGCCCACCACAGTGTCTGACTGTGCCCCTGAGCTCATCACAGTGTCTGACTGTGCCCCTGAGCCCATCACGGTGTCTGACTGTGCCCCTGAGCTCATCACGGTGTCTGACTGTGCCCCTGAGCCCATCACGGTGTCTGACTGTGCTCCTGAGCCCATCACGGTGTCTGACTGTGCTCCTGAGCCCATCATGGTGTCTGATTGTCACCCTGAGCCCATCACGGTGTCTGACTGTGCTCCTGAACCCATCATGGTGTCTGATTGTCACCCTGAGCCCACCTGACTGTGCCCCTGAGCCCATCACGGTGTCTGACTGTGCCCCTGAGCCCATCACGGTGTCTGACTGTGCCCCTGAGCCCATCACGGTGTCTGACTGTGCCCCTGAGCCCATCACGGTGTCTGATTGTCACCCTGAGCCCACCTGACTGTGCCCCTGAGCCCACCACAGTGTCTGACTGTCACCCTGAGCCCACCACAGTGTCTGACTGTGCCCCAGAACCCATCACAGTGTCTGACTGTGCCCCTGAGCCCATCACAGTGTCTGACTGTGCCCCTGAGCCCATCACAGTGTCTGACTGTGCCCCTGAGCCCATCACAGTGTCTGATTGTCACCCTGAGCCCACCACAGTGTCTGACTGTGCTCCTGAGCCCTTCACAGTGTCTGACTGTGCCCCTGAACCCATCACTGTGTCTGACTGTGCTCCTGAGCCCATCACGGTGTCTGACTGTGACCCTGAACCCACCACAGTGTCTGACTGTCACCCTGAGCCCATCACAGTGTCTGACTGTCACCCTGAGCCCACCTGACTGTGCCCCTGAGCCCACCACATCAGCCAGGAAACAATTCCACATCTGCACAACCTGATCCATCACCACCTTACAGCCAAAGAAAGACCAAATGGTTGGGATAAGTGATGGATGGCATGCTGATT